GCAGCTCTAGATCCTGAATAACTGATTCGCTCCCAATTTTTCAAGCCAAACGCCTCAGCTTTATGAACTCTAGAAATGGATGATCTCAATTACTCAATTCTTGACTTGTTGGCTTTACAATTCAGACATGGAGGGAGTCATGTCAGTCTTCCCAAGCAAAACCCACGAGCTCCAAACCACAAGATCGTGGGACTTTTTGGGCATGCCTCAACCACCGCAAGAAGAGCTAGCCTTGGAGGGAGACGTCATCATCGGTATACTCAACACTGGCATATGGCTGGACTCCCCGTCACTACGTAGAAAAACGTTTTTAGGGGCGGCTGGTAACCGTTTGTAGGGGCGGTTTTGCCAGCCGCCCCTATGAAAGGGTGGCTACAAATCATGTATTTGTAGGGCCGGTTCCCAGACCGCCCCTACAAATTTATTTGTAGGGGCGGTTGGTACTGTAGCCGCCCCTACAAATCAATTTATAGGGGCGGTCTGGGAACATCAGCCGCCCCTACAAATCATTTTTCCGCCAAAAAAAAATTAAATTTACAATTCAAATTCGACGAAAGGGCTGCTTAGCATACAGTTATTCATCTTAGCACTTTCACAAAGACATGAAAGACATGAAAATGATACTCAGATACATGGATGATTTTTCCTTTTTGATATCATAGTGCTTAGCATACAGTTGGTATGATATTCCAGGAAGTATCACAATATAAACTTTGGTGATATTCATGGATTACAGAATAAGTGAACACACAATAAATTTACAGAACAAGTGAATACACAATATAAACTTTGATGTTATAATTAAGACTTCGTAGGGACATATGTAATCCCTGGCTCCTATACTTACTGTTGTTGTTGCTGCTGTGGTGGTGGAGCTTGAAACCTTTGTGGTTGCCGCTCAAACTCTTGTTGTTGAAGTGCTATAGCTAGCTCCAGATCAGAGCTGCAAGCATAGGAGGGCCAATGTGGTAGCGTTAGAATTTAGATAACACATGCAAAGTGACTCAGGAGTGCACATCTATGATGATTCAGCACGTTGAGCACATTCAAAATCACAGTAAGGCATATATTGGTCATTCAAGTACATGCTAAGCCGACAGTCCAATACACAATGACAGAAAAAACCATCAAATAGTCGAAGTTCAAAAAAGTTATTGCGCTTGGTTAACAGCAACAATCAACATATCAGAAAAGAAACTATAGCTTCAACTAGCATATCATTTATAGCCCTATTGACGGACATTTTCTGCACAGTACCATTCATACAAGATTCACATAGTTGCTGAAATCCAAACTAGGAATGTTGTACACACACGCAACAATAAAGCACATTGAGAAAAACAGGTAGGAAGAACATACTTTCCAGAAGTGTTGTCAAATTGAGCAAGATAATCCTGTGAACAAAGATAAATTTGAACTAGTTAACATTAATGTACCTAATAACAACTACAGCAGTTTATTGATGTTATACATACAGCAGTACTCGTCATAGCTTGCTGTTCATTCCATGAATCATTTCTTGGAGTTTCAGCCTTAAAGGGTGTGAAGTTGCTGGAAAGAAAAACCCCATCTCCATTCACCTAATGATTGTCAGTTGAGAATGAAAAAGATCAGTAAAGATTTTGATCTCAAGCAAGAATTAAAATAATCACAGGAGTTAACATACCTCATCCAACCTTTGCCATACCAAATCAGTTTGGCTTATAAAACCTTAATCAGTTGCTAGGAGATATAGACTTCTGTTGTACTGCAGAATAAATATGCATAAGAAATAAAGACAGCTCCAGTTCAAGTACTCAAATTACGGAAGAAGACACAAAGCTCACTTTCGTTAAGTCCCTCTTGTAAACAGAAGAGACTGCGACAATGAAATTTGACAATGTGATAAATGAGAATACAATTGAGAACATGTATTTAAACCATAGATTATTAGAAATATACCCATAGACAGTCAGCTGGTTAGCAGTGGTCTGCAGAAAATTATCAATCAGCTCCCCTGAAAATAAATCAATTTAAGTGTGAAGCCAAATATAGTAATTCTTGCATTGTACAAAGAGATTCACGCGTGTACAAAAGTCAATAACAAAAAAAAAATCTCACATTGATGTTCTGTGGCCTTGTCATCCACGGAAGGGCTGCTTTCCCCAGTCTTGTCAGCCTGCTCAGCAAGAACCACCTCCCCCTCATACTAATCTACTATAGTCCAACACTCCAACCCCAATCCGATACAACCAAGCAAATCAAAACGTAAATGAAATGAATGTTAAATTTACATGTAAAAAAGGAATGTCGCTTTTAAAAAATCATAAAAGGGTTTTTTTACGAACCTATAAACAATTGGATCCCTCCCAATATTAGGACCGATTCTGTTTCCTAACCCTGAGAGTAAGCCAAAGAAGCATTCCTCAACTGCCAATGTTAACATGTTCCTCAACAATTTAATATTTTGGCAAATAAATTGGCAAGAATCCATTGACAAAAAGAATTCACATAACAAAATCAGTAGTTTCTTTATCTAAGCAGGCAATACGTCCTCAGAAACTAGAAGCGTGTGTGCCTAGTATATATAGTTCCAGCAATGATAGTATTCTAACTAGCATATTTCTACAAGAGTGTGAAGCCCTGCATACTTACCAAGTGGCACTTTAAGCCCCTCTGAAACAGCATCCCTTATAGGGCTAGGAAGTTGTTGTAGAGCTCCTGCAGTTTGGCCAAGCAAGCCCTTTAACTGTTCAGGCAATGATTCTTCATTGATTCTGGGAATCTCTATAAGGCCCTCAACGTATTCCTCTTTCATTCTGATGGAGCCCTCAACAGACAATTGAGTTGTCAGTAGGAACTTGCTTTGTATCTGGAAACATAAAAAAGGAAGTTGCTAAATAGTGAGAAATGGCAGTGCAACAATAAAATAATCCCCAGTCACACAGAAACATTCAGCTCTGCATCTCAGTAGTCTTCCCGCTGACCAAGGCCTCAAAACCCCAGCATCTTTAAACTGAAATTGGTAAGAAGAAATTCACATACCCTAGTTGAGAAATGCCTCAAAAGTTCAGTATCAACTAGCTGTCATTTCACAAGTCGGGCACACAATCATGGAAAAATATCATTTCCATGCTGAGATTGTGGAGAGAAAAAAATAAAAGTGAAATTTAGATTAAAATTGCAGGTTAGTATTTGACAGTATCGCCTACAATTTGGTACAGTGTGGGGACAAGAGCCTCCCGCAGGCACCGCACAGGAAGGTCAACAAGTAGTACTAGGCGAGGGACTGAGAAGAGCAGAGGAAGAGCAAGAGCTCACGGCGAGGAGCAGGGACTCCTTGGCGGAGAAGCGCTCCATCTCGTGGGCGTAGCTGGCGGCGGCGCCCCCCTGGAAAGTCTGGGCCGTGGCTCTGCAGCACCCCGCGGAGTAGCGGGGGCGGCGGGGCGAGAGCTACTTCTCTAGATCCGATACGCAGCAGCTTTGTAGGAGGCGGCCTCGCCAGATCTGGGGGTGTGCCACCGAGGTCGCCTAGCCTCCTTGGCGACGCCAGCGAAGGTGAGGCCATGGAGGGCCTCTCTGAATCAACCGGGCTTCGTGGGAGGCGGCCCCTTACCGGATCTGGCGGCCGCTGGACTCACGAGCCACCATGCCTAGATCTCGGCCTCCGTGGAGCTGTCGTGGCGGCGGAGGAGGAAGAGGGGAGGTGCGGCGGCGGCGTAGGTGTAGGGGAGGAAGAGACGGCGGAGGTGGCGACGGCGGGGATGAGAGAGAGAGATAGAGGGGAAAGGATCAGAGGGGAACGGGACCGGGCCGGGGACCGGGGACCGGAAAATATTCGTTGTACAAGTGATTTGTAGGGGCGGCTGGTGATTGAGCCGCCCCTACAAATCGTAACACTGGGGGCAGCTGGTGAGTGAGCCGCTCCTACAAATCGACCCCATTTGTAGGGGCGGCTCGTATTATTAGCTGCCTCTACTGTGCTATTTGTAGGGGCGGCTGGTCTAATGGCTCTCCCGCGCGGCTCCATCACCAGCCACTCTTATAAAAAATTTATCCCGTTACTACAAACCATTTTTCACATAGTGCGTCATTCTCCGACGAGGGCTTTGGCCCGCCGCCGAGCAGGTGGAAGGGCGCCTGTCAAAACTTCACATGCAATAAGTATGGAATGGAAGATGTCATTTTCTTTATATTAGAAGAGAAAACCATGATTTAGTGCGACCTTAACACCTACTGATGAAGCACATGTGATGTCGTGCAGCAAAGTTATCGGCGCTCGGTTGTATCATTATTATGGGGGGACCACTGGCTTGTCGCCGGTGGACGAGCTGGGCCACGGGAGCCACACGGCATCCACCGCGGCCAGCCGGGCCGTGGGCAACGTCAGCTTCGGCGGGCTGGCTGCCGCGTGGCCCGCGGAGCGGTTCCAGGCGCCAGGCTCGCCATCTACAAGGTGTGCTGGGACGGCGGGTCCTGCCGGGAGACGGACATGCTGGCGGCGTTCGACGACGCCATCGCCGACGCAGTCGACGTCATCTCCATCTCCATCGGGTACAGGTTCCCCGTCAAATACTTCAACAGCGCGCAGGCCATCGGCTCGTTCCACGCCATGAGGCGCAGCGTGGTCACGTCCGCATCGGCCGGCAACTCCGGGCTCAGCGGCGGCCGCGTCTGCAAAGTCGCGCCGTGAATGCTGTCCGTCGCGGCCAGCAGCATCGACCGCCGGTTCGTCGACAGGGTCGTGCTGGGGAACGGCAAGACCATAGTGGTGGGTGCTCGAACGACAGAAACGTCGTCTCTGATAACATTCGAAATTAACCCCGACTACATGGCTCTGGTATACTTTTCACGCAGGGATCATCCATAAACTCCTTTCCTCCGGTTAACAATGTGACACTCGCAATCCCCATCAATGGGTAATTAATTAATACGAGGACATACAAGGAATTTCATTATATTAATGGATATATAAACTCTTGTTGTCTAGCATTAACGGTTTTGCTTCTTTCGAACTGCAGTTCTTGTGATCCATATTATCTCGTTGGAGATTCATATAAAGGGAAGATCCTCCTCTGCCCGCTCGAGGGTGGCTTTCGAACCAATATATCAGCTGGTCCGCTGTTGGCCGGTGCAGCAGGAGCCATTGCTGCTGGCCCAGCACCAGATGCCGCCTTCATCTATCCATTACCCACACTTGTGGTATCTGAGAACCAGTTCGATGAGATCAAGGCCTATGCCAACAGCACTAGGTGAGTACTTCACTATTGACCATTGCTTATTAATTCGCTGATGAACTGCTATGCACGTTCTCGAAAAAAAAAATGTCTGGCGTTAAATCTTTGGTCTGATTTTCAGCAACCCAGTGGGTACCATAGAAACAACTGTCACGACGGTGAACGCACAAGCTCCAATGTCCGCCTCATTCTCTTCTCCTGGCCCAAACATTGTCACTCCTGATATCCTCAAGGTCATTCAATCAGCTCATAGTCTTTTGGAGTAATGCATGAATAATTAATTTAACAGATCGACATAGTCCATTTACAGCCTGATCTATCTGCACCGGGAGTGGACATCATAGCCTCATGGTCTCTACTGTCACCGCCGTCGGACGATCCCAACGATCAAAGGAGGGTCCAGTACAGTGTTAACACTGGCACATCCATGGCGTGCCCACATGCAAGCGGCGCCGCAGCCTATGCCAAGTCTGTCCACCGCGACTGGTCTCCGGCGATGATCATGTCAGCTCTCATCACTACAGCCACTCCGATGAACACGCCGGGCAATGCCGGAACAAACGACCTCAAGTACGGCGCCGGGCAGCTCAACCCAACCAAGGCACGCGACCCTGGGCTCGTGTACGACGCGTCGGAAGGCGACTACATCGCCATGCTGTGCACGCAGGGGTACAACGCCACGCAGCTCGCGCTCATCGTCGGCTCCAACGCCACGGCCTGCTCCAACGGGTCGACGACAATGGCAGCCGCCTCCGCCAGTGACCTCAACTACCCGAGCATGGCTGCGCGAGTGGAGCCTGGGAAGAGCTTCACCTTGGTGTTCCCACGGACCGTCACCAACGTCGGAGTTTCAGGGGTGGCCGTGTACGATATGAAGATCCTTACGGATGCCGCGGATAACCTCACGGTTGTAGTTGAGCCAAGCAGGCTGGAGTTCAGCGCGCAGACACTGAAGGCCTCGTTCACCGTGACAGTGTCCGGCGTGGTACCTGCGGCTGGCCATGTCGTCTCGGCGGCCGTCGTGTGGTCTGACAACGAGCACCAAGTGAGGAGCCCAATGGTGGTGTATACGAAATCCAGGCAGTGACGAAGATGACCGGTTCAGACAGTGACCAAGAACTCGTCCAGCAAATGACAGAAGTGCAAGGGTCTAAGAGAATAAATTTTACTGGTTTCATAGAAATTTGATTACAAATTCCCGCTGTTCATGAGTAGCAGTCAAAATCTTAAGAAACAGATACACACTTGTGATAATTTGTTGCTTTTCTAGTTCAGAAAGTGAACGATTCAACATTCCCCATAGGATTGCATATCAGGAAATGCCCCTATGGGGGTTGGATCCTCAAAGAGCAACAACAAGAACAAGAAGCCCAATGAAGAAGAAGACAACAACAACAATAAGATTATTGAGACCCCAAGCTCTGATGTCTTCCTTTCTCCTCGATCTCTTTTGCTTTTTTAAGAGTTTGGTGAGGTTTTGTCTTTTGGAGAGTTTGGTGAGGTCTGACTCTTTTGGTTTGAATTGTTGCTTTGTGAGCGAAGCTTTTCAATCCTGGGCCCTTATCTGTGCAAAGACACTCAAGGAACTGCCATCCAAGTATCCAACGCTTGAAATTTGTGTAATGGTCTACGGATAAAAGTTCCTGGTTTCAGATAGCAATAAATTGTAAATAAATAAACTTGTGAGCCCAAGTAGATTACATACAAAGGTTTGGCTTCCATTAGAGGAAAAGAATGCTAAAAGACTGGAGGTTTGGAAAGGTGGATCAATAATGTCAATTGCTGGCAGATCCACCTTGATTAGTTCCAGTATGTCAAATACGCCAATATACCATATGTGAATTTACTTGATGCATAAGACAGTGATTAAAAACATGGATAAGATAAGTAGAACTTTTTGTCTGGTGATCGAGGTGGGCGACCAAGAAAAAATATCATCTAGTAAGATGGCCCAAAGTCTGTAAGAGCAAGAAACAGGGAGGTCTGGGAATTAAGGATATCATGAAACTAAATATTAGTTTGTTGTGTAAGTGGTGGTGGAAACTAGAAACTGAAAAAGGTATTTGGCAAGATATCATTGGAGCCAAATATTTGAGTGGGGAATTAATTTCTTTTGTGGATCAAAGACATCATGATGATTCTCCTATATGGGCTGATCTGTTTTTTTTAGATAATGGAAAAGAGTTCTGGCCTCTACCATCTATGAATGATACACAGCTGATAGTCACACAAAAAACATCAATGCCATAAGGCTTACAATTCTGAGGGAAAAAATAAAGTTCAGCCCAACTAGTGAGCACAACAAAGTAGAACACTAGGCTTCAATACGATTCGTGAAGCTCCAGCCAAACTTTGCGAAGACGGCCATGATCAGCGTCTCCCATCTTCTGCATCCCTCCAAGAACAGTGGTCTCTCCTCTTCCTTGTGCAGCATGGACCATTGATCTGTCGAAAGTAAGAAAACATATATCTTCAAGGGAGAACAATCCAAATCAGAAATGGAGCAAAAACAAGATTCTTGTGGGACCTGTGATTATTTAAGGATTCTTTGAAAAATCTATACCCAGTGCTCTTTCAACTGTGTGAACGAAAAAGGATATAACAGCTGGCCAAACACTACATGAAACCGGGACTTTGCCCAGTGCTCAAATCTTTGCCGAGTGCCAAATATCGGGCACTCGGCAAAGGCCACCTTTGCCGAGTGCCGCACTCGGCGAAACTTGGCACTCAGCAAATAGGGCTTTGCCGAGTGTCTGGCACTCGGCAAAATAAGGCACTCGGCAAAGCCAAACTTTGCCCAGTGCCAGACACTCGGCAAAGTTGGGCACTCGGCAAAGAGGCGCCCGGGGATAACGGTACCCAACGCCGTCCTCTTTGCCGAGTGCCTTCTGTTTGGCACTCGGCAAAATATTGGCTTTGCCGAGTGCCTAGGGTTAGCACTCGGCAAAATATTCACTTTGCCGAGTGCCAAACCTTGGCACTCGGCAAAATAAATTTTTTTTTTGTTTTTTGCCACCAACTTTTTTTCTTAGATTTGTATTTGTACCATGAACAACATGTTCAAATTTGGCACAATTTCATTGCTGTTTGCTATATTTCTTCACTTTATTTCGTTTTCTTGCAATTTTCCGGAAAATGTAGGTTTGAACTACAGGTGCATCGAATAATAGTTTTGATCCATTCCAAAAATGTTATTCTTGTTTGTTAGTGTCACTTTATGCTAAATCTAGGAACTGTCTCCAAATTTCGATCAACGTGCTCACGGGGCAACGTCGCGAACTTGTGTGCGAGTGGTTATTTAATTCTATAAAATTCAAACGAATCCCAAAAATCATGAAACTTGACGAGATGTCATGATATCACATGCATATGCGGTGGTAAAAATTTGAAAACGTTTGGAGGACGTCATCACGTGTGGTGTTCACAAACCAGGACATCATCACATTGAAGGGGAGGAGGAAGAGGAGGAAGAAGAAGAAGGGGAGGAGGAAGAAGAAGAAAGAGAAGGGAGGAGGAGGAGGAGGAGAGGAAGGAGAAGGGTGGAGAAGGAGGCAGGGGAGAAGAGAGGAGGAGGGGAGGAGAGAAGGAGAAGGGGAGAAGAGGAGAAGAGGAGAAGAGAGGAGAAGAAAGGTGCCGCCTCGGTTCGTCGACCCTCATGTCGTAGCGGTCGTCCCCGTTGAAGTCGCCGGCCCTCGGTCTTCGCATTCTCGCTGGCAAGGTATGCCCTAATGTTAGTATTAGTTAGTAAGTAGTAGTGTTAGTAGTAGTAGTTAATTAGTAGTGTTAGTATTAGTTAGTAAGTCGTAATGACAGTAGTAGTTGTAGTTGTTGTTCATAGTTTTAGTGTTAGTAGTAGTTATTGTTGTATGTATGTGGTTGATGGCCTTCGTGCCTATGTTTGGTATACATGTGGTTGTTGGCCTTCGTGCTAATGTTTTCTGCAGGTTTTGGGAACCTCTCCGTGCAGGGGAGGTGCTGCCGAAATTTTCAATGGAGTCTAACCATTTGCCTTTTCTTTGCAGGACGAGGACCGTTGGGAGGCACTCGGCGACCCCGATCGTCTTCGTCGGCGTTGCGGTTCTGCCTGCACCGCGTCGCCTCGCCACTGCAGCGACTCGCCACTGCCCCACTAGCCTGACCTCACCGACACCCTAGGTATAACCCATCTTCCATACTTGTATCTCGTGTAACCCCAGTTAGGCGTCTCCCGTCCGAAAGAGATACGGTCGTTGGTATGCAGATCTTTGCATACCAAATTCTGTACCTGTTTTGGATTGTCCACATTTTTTGGACAGCCCGCGGATGCGTAGATGGGTTGGTTTCCGTGGCCCGCTCCTGTCCGAGACAGAGTTTCGGCACCACCTCCTCGTTGTTCTCCTGATACACAATCTCCCTGCCAGGACGTGTATCGGGAGAACAGCGGGGAGGTGCTGTCGAAATTCTGTCTTGGATAGGAGCGGACCATGGAAGCCAACCTCATCTACGCATCCTCGGGTGGGATTAGGACCTATCCTTCACCTATTAGATGTATAGTAGGAACGCCTTGTGGATTTACCTGCAGTTTTTATTACTCGCTTACATATGCATGTGCCAGAGGATGGATAACCGTGAGTGGATGTACACGGGCCATGCAACTATGACCCCAGAATGGATGACCAAGACCAATGCTTTCCTGGAGCATGCATTTGGCGAGGCTGCTAAAGGGTCAGCCCGGATGCCGTGTCCGTGCAGCAGATGTAGCAACAAGAAAAGAAAAATTAAGAGGCTCGTGGGGAAAGATCTTATCAAGTATGGATTCACGGCAAACTATACCCGGGGAAGAGCGAGGCCAGGACCATGACACTCACCAGGGAGCAGAGTTATAAAACATTGTTACTGACTCATTCCATGAAGAATAGGTAGCCTTCATTTTATATTCTAACATTTCTAATACTTGATGGCATGCAGATGTGTCCTTCTTGGTGCGCCACCCACAGAGACTGTTGGGCGGCCATCGTGGACAAGTGGGTCTCCGATGAGTGGAGGGAGAGGCACGCCCTCCGTCGGGAGTGCCGCCTGCAGATGGGTGGGCCGGCGCACCACCAAGGCAACCGGCCCCTCAGTTCGTATGCCCAGGCCTGAGTACACGCTACGCACTTATTTATTTATTTGTTCTAACGCTCAATTCTCATTACTTCTAATCGTCTTTGTGTTTTCCTCGCAGTCCCAGTCGCATGATGGCCAGGAATGCAACGAGTTCATGGCGTACGCCATGGCACACAAGGGCAAGGCGACAGCCCCGGACACCGTCTACAACCCGGAGGACGGGCCCGAGGCGTACAGCAACACGAGCGTCCACAGCAAGCTCACCGACTACGCCTCGGCGGCCCGCGAGCGGCATGGGGAGGACTTCGACCCCGCCACCCAGCCCCTTGATACCGACCTCGTGATGAGGCTCGGAGGAGGGAAGCAGCACGGCCGGTACTGGATGGCCTCCAACATGGTCGACTCGACCTCTGTGCCCAACCTCGCCCAGATCCGAGCACAGAGCACGAGCTCCTCCGTCCCCATTCGACCTCGGCAGGCGAGCACACTGCAGCAGATGGCGGCACTCCAGGTTAGTTCTATTTCATTCGCCGTTCATTACTTTTACACATGTACCTTGCATTTGCATTGTTTAAACGTTGGTGATTGAATATTGCAGGCCACTGTGGAGAGGATGGAGGCCGAGAGGGAGGCCGAGAGGGTCGAGAGGGAGAGGGAGAGGGCCCAGAGGGAGGCCGAGAGGGCCGAGTGGGAGGTCCTGAGGGCCCAGAGGGCGGCCGAGGCGCAGAGGATGCAGGACATGTTCTCATTCATGTCGAGCCTCGGCACCACTCTCCCGGGTGTGGTGGTGCCCCGATCGCTGCCTCGCTCGGTTGTGCCTCCTACCTCCGGCTCTAGGCACTCCGGTGAGTATATATATATGGTTGATCAAGTCCTTTAGCTTTGTGTAGATACTAATGAATTCAATTCTCCTTTGTGCAACAACAATGTCGGGTTCGAACCCGACTCCTTCGCCTCAGCACACACACCCCGGCTGGACAGGTCCACCACCGCACGGAGGTG